CGCGTGACCGCCTCGATTAAGAGATCGTCGGTAATAATGTGGACGAGTTGGCAGGTCGAATTGTGTCGATAGAGTGCGAGTCGAGCGAGTCCACTGGTCTGGGGGGCAGCATCTCGTGCGTTTTCATTCGTAGACGTGTCTCGCGCGGAACTACGATGTATTTTACTCGTTGTTCCAGGTTGTCGTCAAGCAATCACCGACCAACACGTACCGCTTCTCGTTGAGCGGATTATCGCGAGCCGCGATCGCGCGGAATATTTGCACCGTTCTATCACGAAACGAAAGAACAAGCTGAAAAACGGAGTAGCACAGGCAGCATCACGAGATCACGAGGATAAGCTGTTCGGTGGACGACGATGTCGACCCCTGGACGATCGAAACTACCGACGAGTCACTCTGACAATGCGCATGCGAGCAGGGCTTCGCGCCAATTTCTTTCCGTCACATTGCCTCTAGAGTCTTTGCTCGTTCGTCACTATTTTATAGTCGTTCTTGGATTTACGAATATTACCACTTAATAGTTTAGGCTCTTATCTATAATCTTATCTATAATTTTATATATATGACGATAGAGAACATTTTACGTCATAACGCAAGCTTCGTTAAACCTATTTTGTTCTTTGGATCATTGCCGATTCAATCGTATTTTTCTACCGCTAAAATTTTTCTTCAATTAATAGGGAAAATACGAAAAAATCATTATCGATATCCCGATTTCTCGTTTTATTTGCAGGCTACATTTTTTTTTTTTTTTTTTAAATCACGGAGAACCTATTTGCTTGGCGAAATAAAGAATACGATTGGGACGTAAAATTTTGAGCACCGGTGAGGAATTCAAGAGTTACGATCACTGTTATAATCGTCGACTATCGAGGGCGCTTTTCCATGAATATAAAGACGCGTTGTCTAAACTAGTAAAACTGCTGTAAAACTTGCATTTCAGTTATTGAAGTGCACGAGGTCGCTAGTTACATTTCTTTGCGTTTTTATGGTATTTGGTATTTATGGTATTTTCGTGACGTGTTCAATTTCAATAATACGAAAGAAAGTAAACTTTTCGCAACTTTATTGTCGTCCGGTTTCTGGAAAGGTTCTCAAGGATGTTCTTAATCTTCTGTCATTTACGTTTTGTACTAGTTTTGTTGTCGCGATGTATGAGAGATGTTGAGAAAACATAAACATTAGTCGTGAATAAACTTTGCATGCGAGTGACGTGGAACGTAATATATATGCAGAATTGTATACAAAGTAATAACAATTACATGCAAACTTTGTATGCTTTTATATCTAATACAATGGTTGCAAGCAGTAAATGTGAACTATTATTGCGTATGGAACACAATTACTTCTTAGTTATGTTAAATTCTTAAATATTGTTGATTCTAAAACTTCAAATTTCACATTGGCAATATAAAAATATACATGTATCAAATATGTCAAATTTTTGTATAAAATGTAATAACAGATAACGTTCTTTATTAAGGCTTCAATCCCTTAAAATCGCTTTAAGTATAAGTAATCTTTTAAAAAATAATTCTCGATGATATTTGTCAGGAAATATGTAGCATGAAATATTTTTCAAAGAATTTTGCGTAATTCTTTAATTCTCGAATTATGTAAAATAACGTTACCAAAAGGAAGAACAGCGTTACCTCTTAGTTTGGAGGGCTTTAATATAATGAAGAATAATTTGATTTTAATTTTTAATAATTCTCATGCAAACAGCTTTAATTTTTTTTAAAATTCGCTCAGTAGTTTCTCGCTTCCGACGAAATAGTATTCCAAAACTGGGTTTCTATTATTCGCTCATATCTTACGGTTAAAGGAAGGAAGGATGCTGTAAAAGAGGAAGACCTATTTATCATACGACGAGGCCCAGCCGATCGAAACTGCCTTCCGGTAAAGCCACTCTCTCAATGGGCATGCGCATTAAACAATCACGCAAGAATTTATGTTAAACAATAAAGTCGTATCGATTCAGCTGTTTCTTCTATTTTTAATACCTCGCCTCTCGAGGGTGGATTTTCTTGCGTTCACCCTTTTAAATTATGCAACATTTACAAAATTGCTGATATAAAATCGCAAAATACATGTAAAAATACAGATTTTAAAGCAAAAGAGGAAGTTTCGTAAAATGTTCATACTTCAAGCGAAATAATATTTTTCATATTTATAGAGCTATATTTATGCAATTGTATGTATAATATTGCGCGGAACGTTGCGATAAATCGCAATTATAAAATTGCAAAATTGATGCACAAATACGAATATCTTCAATAGGTATTTTTAATATTTGCAGAATTGTTATAAATTTATACAAAGCGCGCTGAATATTTGCGATGAATATTTAGTAATCGTTCTACGTTTAGTTTTTTCATACTTTAGCTGTTATTAATGGGTAATTCGCGTTAGTACCTTCCTATAGCCTTTTGTAGAAAAAAGAAAGAAACATAGAGGAAAAGTGTCATTGGACTATGCGAAAGAAGAGGTCATTTATCACCGAGCAATAGGGTTTGTGTGTTTAGAACTACTCCTTAGTTATCTGGATCTGGACTTCACATCAATCGTCGCCAACAAAGTGGATGAAAAATGAATGTTTCCCTTCTAAGGACAGTTCAGTTATTATGGATGTGCTGAAAACATAGATGCTTTTTATTTTCAAGGGGGAAATATGTAATTAATAAAATAATACAATGTTTGTAGACTTTTTGAATAATCACGCAGCTTTATGAATTTATTTCTTCAAAGTTTTAAATACCTTTAAATTACGTATTATTCTCTTCTTGCTGCTCACTTTTTATTTTCATACACATCATGATTTTTAATATTACAGAATTTCCAGAATTTGTTGGTAACAATTGCATGATTCGGTGATTTAAGCCTTAATTTAAAATTAAGCCTTATTTTAAAATTAATATGAAAATGTACAAATATACAATATTAAAGTAAAATAATTATTCTTTTACATAGTAGAAAAACAAATATTCTATAGTTCTCGATAATAATCACTTCTGGTTATTTTGGAAGAACAAACTTGTACTTGGGAGATTAACTCGTCTCAGGTGGTCGCAGTTTACCTCTCTTAACCATTGTCATGATATATTTTTAGTTTGATTGTATGATTTGAAATTTACCAAGGTCGATCCCGAATGGACGTGATTGCAAAGTCGATAGAAAATTTCATGCACGCTTCTAACGTGACTATCTACACTCGCCCAGGAATCCTATTTTCCCACAGCGTTACCTTTCCTTTCGTAAATCATATTCGCGGTAAGTTCATTACCTTCCCGGACAGAGACGAATTGCATTTGAGAAACGTGGCGAGAGAGTCAAATGGGAATAAATACGCTCCTTCTGATTTTCGAAAGGAGATTTGACGGCGATGTCTTGAAAATGAAAGATTCAAGCTTGAGACGGAGGTTTACTGACGAAGAATTGAGATTTAAAGAAGAGAGATGAAAATAAAAAATACAATTTTGTAGAAAAATATTTTATATGGAAGTATGAAAAGAAACAGTTTACAAACAGACAAATGGATATAGATACGCTTCCTCTGATCTTCGGAAATAGATTGGACGGTGAAGTTTTGAAAATGAAATATTCAGACCTCGGATTTCAGAATGAAAAATTGATATTTTGCGAAGAGAATCGGAAATAAGAAATAAAGAAGATTTCATACGGCAGAACGATGAGAAAAAGATTCACATTTGAACGTTGGAAATGTATGGAAAGTTTACGTAAGAAATAAATTTCTTTAAAGGCAGAAATTTGGAAATAATAGATTTGCATTGCATGCAAATTTGAAAATAAATGGTTTACATATCGAAAGTTTTCGAAAGAAATTATAGGATTATTTTGAAGGAATGAATCGAGCGTGTAGAACATTTTGTATAAGACAAATATATTGTAGCTTTAATTAGAGAGAAATCATTTATAATACTGACGATTCAATTCACAATATGATTACAGTATTAACGTTCATATTAAATGCATTCGATAACATTGCTTTGCTACTGCTTAATGTTACATGTGGAAATAATTATTACGTATCTACGACTAGAACAGAATTTACGTCAAAATTGTATACAATAATATTTATTTATAATCTATCGTTATATTAAAATTATCGTAAAATTATTACACATTTCTCATAAATTACCTACGCTGTAGATCTAGAAAAAATTATGTTTCATTTAGTTGTTGTGAAATATGAAAAATTTGTGCTAGAAAGTTCGTGTATTTATAAATTAACGGCAGAGGAAGTGCCGTGCACCAGTGGATGACATTTTAAATTCTATAAAGAGCAAAGTAGCATTTATCCCTGTCATTTATTATTATTATCAGTAAATTTATAATATACTTATTCCTTTTTTTTATACTATAAATATAACATCAAAAAGATCGGACGATTTTAAAATATCTTTTAGTGTTATAAAAAGATATATTTCTTTGTAATATTTGAAATATTCGAAATATTCAAAACACTATTTTTTTGGTATATCGCTGAGTACATCTTTTTATATTCAATAAACAAATTGATAACTTTAAACAATTCACAAATTGTAATTATATATTTTCACAAGAACTTTTAACAGATTTCAACAAATGTGATAATTTGAAGATGTAATGTTTAAAACTAAATAACAGCTACTATATGTATATTTCAAAAGAATTGCTATATCAGAAATAATTTGCAACATAAGAGATAATAAATTCATTGTATTACTCATAGTATTAATGTGCCTATTTACACGTCAATAAAATTATTTTGTTATTTTCATAAATTTACTTCAGAAAATGAAGATGCAAATTTTAATTATCATTTGACACGGATAGTATATTTTTTATGTTTGTACAAAAATTCGTTTGTACCATACAGAATTATACTAGCAATAAGTAACTTTTGTTTCTTGCATCGTTATCGTTTGTCAGTAAAATATACTCTCGCAGTTACATTACAGTATATTGTACAAGATTATTATCAGCGTAATATTTCCCGTTCGATGTCTTTCTTAGGCATTGAGTGCAACTTAAGACTAATTTGATCATTGCTTATAGGTATTATGTTTTAGTTTCCATCTTAAAATTACGTACTAACATTGGTAAAAAATATGTTCTTTTTAAATATTTTCCTCCTTGCATCTTCATTGATCAAGAATTAATCCTTTTGAAATACCAAACAAGATTGTAAATATGTTCACCCACTTTAAAAGGAAAGATAAAGTTACTAAACAGAAATTACATAAATACATATATATATATATGTATTATATTTACGTTATATAAAAATACCAAAAACTCGCGTTAATTTCTCAAAAGTTTATATTCTTCATTTTTCTTAGCTGAGCGAATTATTCTTTCAGGCGTAAAATTTTTAACAATCTTTGTTTTTCTTTGTTAAAATTTGAATGATGTGAATTGTTAAGCCACTGTACAAATTGTAAGAATTTAAAAATTAGAAAATGCTTATTAAAATGTAGTGTAATTAAAATCATATTAGATGTTAGTTTAAGAAATAGAAGAATTAATGATGACGAATGGTATAAATAATTATTACATTCTATGTATATATATATTTCGCGTATTCTCGTTCTTCTTTAATTTTTTCTTTCATTCGAATTCCATCAAATAATATTTTCTAGTCTTCTAATTAGAACGTTGGAACAATGCGATCAAGTATTTCGTATTTCTCTCGTGGCCGAGTTCTTTTTCTATTACTTTCGATCAATATATATGTAATATTATTGGATGATAATTATTATAGCTGCGTTTTATATTTATCTTATATACTATGAATATCTTTCGTATTTAAACAATTTTCGTTTTTCACGAGAACATAAATAAATATGGCTGATATACGATTACGAGGCATCGGGTTTCCCTAACACCTGAAAATTGAGTAGAGACGAAGGATACTCTTTACTGAAGTTTATAATCCTACATTGTCGTTTAGTCACAGTTTCCAGCTGAATTCATCTATACGAAAATCCGATAGAAAATAGTACTCTAAAAGACGGAGAACAAGACTCTTGCCTGATAATTTTAATAATCCATTTTCTCCAACATTCCAGTTTCTACGTTCCATCATAAAATAGATAATCTCGTGCGTTCACTTCAGTTGCACCAACACCATGAAGTAGGTGACCATAGCTCCCAGCACCTGAAGAATTAGTTGTTTTTATTTAATGAAACCTTACAATCAAAATATTCGACCGAGTTTAAACTGAACTCAAACCTTTTCAGAAGTTAAAATTGTCAAAGTTAGTTCAAACTGAATTTTACTGCGAGGTTCTTACTTCGAATTAAAATGTATTGTTCAACGTGGACGAGTGACAAAATTGATGTGGGAGAAATTTAAGTAAAGTTGATATTTATATTACCGAGGCAAAGAGATCCAAAGAGACGGTGAAGAACTTCGCCCCTGAAATCGACATCGCTTTTTGGCACTGCTGGCAGACGATTTGCACGAAAGTTTTGGCCTCTTCTGATCCATCGTACCAATGACAAGAGTAAGCGGCTTCCATCACTGATGAACTCTGTGTATAATATAAAAAATGTAGGTAGATGCGAAATATGGCTTTTCTTAATATCGATTAGATTGTTGATATTTATGTATATTCATACTTCACGACACTAAAGGAACGAAACTTATAGAGAGATTCGTTTCGTCGTGTAAATATCACAACAGTGGTATTTCACTGTGCACAATTTGTATCTTCGTATATCGCAATCTATTGATAACTCATTAAAACTTGATTTACGATATTTTAGAATCACGGTATCGAATGGAAATCATTTGGAAAATAAAATAAAGGGAAATATAATAAATATACGATATACGAATACGAACAATGTTTAATTTGCTCGTAATTAGAATTATTTCGAAATGTACGACCTACGCAGAAATATGATCGAACTCGTAACATACGTATCATGAGAATGATTTGATATTTTTTATTAATTTTAATATATGTATGTGTCTCGAAAATTGTAGAATCGTAAATTCCATATTCGTAACACTTGATACGAACGATTCCACGTAAATTTGTTATTATTCTTCGTAAAAGTACGTTGGAAACTCGAGAAATCGGAACTCGATTAAAATTTGCATCGTTTTGTGCTGGGATACATAGTCGATTAATATTTACGGATAATTATATGTACCTCTTCGATGAGACGGTTTCCAAATATGCACAGCATGAAGACCTGCCCTAGGGAGTATAACAAGTAACCTATTACCGAAGCTGCGTATGTATCCACTGCATTTATCTGAAAGATAAATCAAAGTTTTATCTCTTTTATTATTGGAAATGGAGGCAGGTTCGCTGAATATCTTTTCCTCTTTTTATAAATAGACTCTTCTAATTTCACGCTATATTTTATTGTATTTTATATTTACGCTATTTATACTGTTTTATGCGGAGAAAAGTTAAAAGTAAATTTTTTAAACTCTTCATATTACCTTTGTTGCCTGGTAGGCAAGTAAAGTTAATGTGATGGTGGTAATTAACATATGTAACAGCAGAGCAACACCATAAGCGTCTCCAATTGCGGTTACGAGTCTAGAAAATAATAACAATGTTAAAGTAATTTGAATAATAAACAGATCTATCCATTTGCATCATAAATATAAAATTGTCATTTCCTTCTATAACGATAAGGAATTTTCCATAATAATATACAATATAATTTTTTGTAATAACTTCTACCTTCCAAAAAGCAGGGAATTTATTTCTAAGTTTTTGAATATCCAATTACATAATATTATTAAAATTATTAACTACATAAATATACCGTAAACGTAATGTAGATGTTAAATTCCGCCAAATAATAATCTGTATTAATTGCCAAATTTGTTTAAATGAACTTTGCATTATTATCATTTTTATATTACATTTCAGTGTTTGTTTGCATACATTGTAGGCTTGTAGTCCTCGTTAAATGCTAAAAGAGCTAAGACCCTTGAAATGTACCAAACCCAATCTGTTCGTAAGCCCGTGACTACCATACAACAAAGTTTTAATTCGACCTAGTTCACTGGATGAATGCATTTAACCAGTTGGTTAGAGTTTATGATTGGACAACTTGTCTCTCTCTCTCCCTCTCTCTCGCGCTCTTTTTCTCTTTCGTCTTCTTTATCATTCCTCCATCATTTTTTTCTTTTCTCCTTGATTCCACATCTCCCCTTTGCTGTTTAAATAATGCATTTCACCAACGTATCGTCAAGTTAGCTGTATCCAAGTTGAATGATCAATACTTTCAAGTGCTTTAAAGGGGAAGAATAAGGTGTTTGACGGTTCTTCGATTCGTATATTTCTTGTTGGATTCATTCTTTCTCGTATTTGTTTCTTAGCTTGTCCATTTTCCGTCTACTTTATATTTATCCGTGCTCATTTACTTTCATCAAAACTTCTATCAAACTTGAAATTGACGAAGAAACGATTCTTTTCTTTTTGCATTGTTTTACTTGATTTCCTTGGAAATTTCCAATTTAACGGAGAAATCCTTCATCCACCCTTAATTTCTTTCCACGAAGAATCCTTTAATCTTCCGCTTAAGTACCTTACCTGTCACTTTCTTACAATTATTTATACCGCCTTGCTGTCCGAAGGAAAGTTCTTTGAAAAAAATGAAAAACAAGATCCTTTCTACTTTAGTGTAGTTATCTATCCCCTATGGTATTCGATGTTTCCGTTTCTTTAACGTAATATTAATATGAATTATTATAAGACATATATATTATTATTATAAGACATACTTTCTGTCTTTTATAGGAGAAACAACTTTCAAATTTAATATAAATATTGTCTTTAATAAAACTTTTATTCTTAAGCTTTCTATTGTTTAAACTGTTTAAACTGTTTCCTTTTTTTATTTTATTTGATTTAGAAATTGAAAGTATACTGCTTAATCTATTCTTGAATATTTTAGCATTAAACATTAACATTAAATTTAACGTTAAATTTATTTAATTTAACATTAAAAATCTTAGTCTGTACAAAACTTCTTAGATTTATTTTTAAAAAGTAAGATATCTTTTTTATGTGGCATCTTTTCGCCCAAACCTACGAATTTTACATCAAATGATAAGTCATGTAAAAATAGACTTATTATATCTTTCTCGCGTGACCTTAATATTCCTTTCATTATAAATTTCACTAAAAATGTTTCCATGCTGCAGAAGCGAAAAAGTCCACTTCCGCTTCGCTTTAAAAAGTCCCTGAAAAAAGCAGCCAACAAGCAAAATCGCTTTCGAGCATTAACGTATAAAAGGGACAGTAATTGATCAGGCTAATGCATCGAAATATCAGACGTAGGCAACAGGTTTTCGTGTATTTTTCTGTAACAAAGCAGAGCAAGGATTCGCGTGGCGGTCGAAGGGCAAACATCGAACACATTCTGCATTCTGTGCACCGTCGAGCAACGAAACGTGTACACACACGTGTCAGACACGTATACTGGTGCACACGTGAACGCGACCAACGTACAATCCCTGAATTGTCCAATAAATTGTCCAGTCCGCTTGCTACGTCCCCAGTTGCGGTCAATATCGCGCTCTCTTAGAATAAATACTTCACCACCGTGGGAATACACGCATCCCCTCTGTTTCTGTACCGTCGAACAACCTATATACATAGAACGTAGTTCCGTTCCTTCGTCTTCTTTGAAAATTTTCTTGGATGCGGCGCGACCGTCGTTTCACGTTTCTTCTTCGTTTTCAAAGTTTGCCGCATACTAAGAACCCGGAAACACGTTTCCTTCTTGTACGCGATATTTTTTCTGGGTTTTGACTGGCAATTCGAAGCTTCTTATAATTAATTAAGAATCTTGTTCCTTGATTTCACAGATTCGTTATTTATTATTTTAACACTATTATTTGAACTCCCAAAATTTGACTAATTTGTATAATTTTTTTTCGGAATGTTAGAAATTTACGGCGGCGCTTTTTTTGAGATTTTATTTACTTTTTACGGACAGACACCTATTTTTCTCCTTTCATATTTCTTCGGGTTCCCTTCAATTTGATCTTTTTGGCATATGCTTCGTTCTTTAGTCGTCAATAGTTCTATCTATTCAGATGGATCTCTTCAATCTTTTTGCTAACTCTTTACTTATTTTGTTTAGACCATTTGTTTTGACCATTATTTGTTTTGACCATTTGGAAGTTATTTGATTCAAAACATATAGAAATAATGACTGTGAAAATATATATGAAAATATGATCAAAATAGAAAGTTGTAGTAACAAAGAATATAATAAAGGAAAAGAGAAAAACGTTTGTTGAAAGAAGACACTACCACTGAATTTCAATGAATTTCAAACTACCACTGAAAATAATAAATAAAATAATAAAGCGTATGTCCCATAAAGTGCTGCATGTCTGATGAGGTAAGATCATGCAAATTAAAATGGATAATTCATCGTAAAAAATAATTTCCAGTTCATTTTTCATTATACGTTAAATATGCAAGATATCATTTTTCTTCGTAAAAGAGTCTCAAGCTTTAGAATTCAGTACAAAAAGTAGGAAAATTTATATAAAAATTTATGTTCGTAATAAGTCACGACGTTAAAGAAATTACGAGTTTAAGCAATGTGATCAAATTTAGTTGGCCACTAAAACTTCTTCACCCAATGGAATTCTTCAAATTAACCGAATGGAAGAAATTATCCGGCTGTTGAAGAGCGAATTGTTCTACAGAACATTCGAATTATACGTTCGATTAACTATATAATTTTATTGTCGTACGAAACTAACGCAATGCGAACATTGCTTGAATTTCGATCCTTTTTTGCCTCATATTTTTTTCCAAATTAAAATCGAATTGTATAAATTCCACTGAATTTCAAAAGCAATAGGAAACACTTTTATTAAAAAGTACACCTTTGTTTGCCGATGAATAAACGCGTTCCATGTATAACGAGTGTATTTGTTTCCAACTAAGATTGCTCCAGTCAATATAAAACCTCGAGTAAACAGAATATTGATTTTACATTCGCACATACAACTGGGGGAAAATTTCTTTGCCTTTTCTGAATTATTCACTGAGGGTAGAGTAGATGCGAATCATACGTTTGAAAATTCCGAACCTGGACGTACGCTAATTCAAATTCGAAATAGATAGAATTTTTCAACAATGCGTTTCTTTTTTAATTTTTCTTTTTATATTTCTCTTTGTTAATTTTTTTTATTTTAAGAAATAATAAAATTTCTTTTTTAATTTTCTAACGCAAAACTCATGTACATACTATTTCAAAAATATCTCCCTTTTTATCTTCTGCCTGACTTCTCGATTTTCTGAAAACGCTATTGTTTTAATATAATTTATTGTAGATTTGATTGAACATAATATATTTCAACCGTGTACGTATTTCAGTTTTTCTTGTCCACGAATGGCTAATAACTGTTTTTAATATTTAATTTAGAACTCGTTCAAAAATCAGTCAAAATTCTAAATTCTATTATAAATTATATTTATTCAACAGCTTTGTCTCATTGCCTTTTTATTTCAGTACAAGTTCCCATCAAAATTTAACAAGTAATGGTAATTTATTCCGAAACTTTCGGTCAATTAGGATTACGCTATGCAATTTAATTCTTCCCATTGTCGTTGAATAAGTAATGCAATTCCAAACATTATGCGAAGAGTCTTCGTTAATTTGAAATCACTTCCTTAATTAAAAAGCTGCCTCCATAAAGTCTACGTAAAGAATTTTTCATCGTTCGTCCTTTACGAACTTTAAACAAAGATTTTCACTGCATATTTCGATAATAAATGAATTTGAACGTTACAGGAACCTAAAACTCGTCCCATAGCAACATCTAGAACTATTTTATTCTTACTGAATCGCTTTTGTTACAAAATTCCAAGGAATTTCAAACGGAATAAACCTTCTAACTCTTTTTTTTAATGTTGATTAAACGTTGAGCTATTTTCATCGCTTTTCACGAGAAACGGTTTAATGGAAAAATTTAGCAAGCTGACACCGGTTGAAAAGTGTAGATGGTAACGAAATCGCGCGAATTTACTTATTCACCTGGCACGGGGATTATTATCCTAATGGAAGTCTCTCATTGTTAGGATCGCGAATGTGAAAGGTTCTCTCATTGTCGACGTAGATTACGTTTCCGTGTAGAAACGAAGTCGAGATGAGAATCGAAATGGGAAACTGGGTTATACCGGAGTAGTCAAGACGTTGACGAACTTTGAAATTGCGACGTGCTGCAATTTAACTTCACCGTGGAAATTTTATTTTCAACCACCAGAAATGGGACTATTGTTTCGGAATTTGCCATTGTCAATGATTGTAGATTATTTCTCGATGACAAACTCCCTTTTCCCCGTATAACAGAATTTGATGATAATAAAAATACGATTTCTAATAAATGGGAAAATTATTTCCTATGGCTAAAGAAATTCATAATTCTTATACGTGTAAAGTTACAATTAATTGTTACTTTGGAAGTTCCCAGTTATAAATCATCGAATTCTAAACTGTGTGGTCCAATTTTCACAAAATATCTGTTCTTCGGTAGAGTTTTTTCCATTTAAGCGTTCAACGTAGTCTTTGTTACACGAACGATCCTTGCGATCAGCGATTAATTATAGTGGATTCTGTGGCGTTTCCAGAGAATATGTTGTTTATTATATCATGGATTGAAGACTTTAGTTTTAATTCTTTTCGTGTATATTTTCGGCAAAATACGAAAGGGCAACGATTATTATATAAACTATATGTAAATTCCATCAGTATTATGTATATATGTGATTTAAAAAATGTCACATATATAAGGAAATTTTATTACAAAACAAGTAAAATAAATACGATACCTATAAATAATACATATGAACATAAAGATGATAAAAATCAAATATACTCTGCAAAGCATTACACGCTGAAGAAAATATGATGTACTTACCTTACAATATGTTTGTGCCTCTCAACCCAGTATTTGATGGCACTGCGGACTAGCATTTCTTGTTTCTTTGTCAATCCATTTGGTCCCACACCCCCGTTGAAAGTCATTCCAGCAGTTGGTCGAAAGGTGGCCGTAAAATCTGTTCTGTTGCTGTATATTCCCCGAAGATCCATGTCTAACATATTCTCGCCCGGTGCTGTTGGCGTGGTTGGTGGTAGTGGGTCATGATCTCTCGGCTGTTCTGCACTGCCAGACTGAATAGCAAACAAATGTACATTAGAAGCTGCGATCGGGACACGAGCCTCTCAAAAATCAAATTAATCAGCTCCAGTTCTTACGAATCTTTAAGTTTCATTGTACAAATATTTACATTATATAAATTTGACAACAAAAATTATATGGATAATAAAAAATTCTATTTAACGTAAGTAGAGATTATGTCATATTTGATAGATGAAATTTCAGCTTACTTTAAACAGTTCTCCGCTGTTTGGCACGACAGTGTCCAGCGTGGCACTGAATTCCATCAAAGGCTTCATAATGTTCTTCAGATGTTGAATTTGTTCGCAAGCAAAGAGGAGCCACGAGCAAAAGAGTACATCCAGAAGATTTGCGTCTGCCATGCAAAACACCAGCCAGTAAAATTGGAATATCAACGTCAAGATGTGAGCCATCCCGTGGCTGGCATTGTACGGGTACCAAGAACGCAACATCAATCTTGGTATCTGGACAAAAGAATATGTTTGCAATTAACATTTTGAAATTAATCTTCTCTTCCTTCGAATTAAATTTTTCTGCTGTATATGGGGGTCGTTAATAGCCATGTTAATTTACAAGAAGATAGAGGTAAACGTAGGCCATCGTAGATTAAACGAAACATTTTAACATTGTCATTTTTTATCACCTATTTGAATCACTAACACCCACACTATACGAATTACTAATCTTTAATGTTATTTATCGTTTATCATTTTTGCAAACGCCAAAGCAAACGATCGTTGAAAAAATTCGAGAACGTTACTATACCAATTTTCTTACTTTCTTAACAAAGAAATAAATAGCGCTATATTAAAGTAAACAAATAATTACGATACCTCGACGTAGGTGGTCTCATTCGTGATAGGATCGATAACTTTCTTCACGGAGTCACCGATGAACGTAATGCTGGTCCAAGAAATGGCCGACAGCATCGTGGTTGCTAGGACAGCCAGCAAGAGTATTCTCATCTTCCTCACGGCTACCTGATGGTAACGTGCGTTGCTCTCGGCGAACAGGGGATGGCTATTCGGATTGTTCCAAATGCCAAGGGTTCTATAGAATAGTTTGCTCCTAACTGCGAAGTAAACGACCTTGATCACGCTGTGCGTGAAGAACAGCATCGTGATTGTGTTTGCCGTAAGATCGTCCACGTCCTCCTTCTCAAAGAATAAGTTTATACCACAGAACCCAAACTGCATCAGCATCAGGACCAGGTGCACCTTTTGGTAACATGGTTTTGATTAATTTCTTTTTATTTGGATTTTCTGCTTTTTCTTCTTTTTCTCTATTTTTCTCAATTTTTTTCTATTATTTTAAGCTTCTTCTCGAATACAGATTTGTTTATAGCGATTTGACAATACAACGATTAGAGGCGTATAAATTATTAATTAGATGTATATAAAATAGTTATCTGTAAATGATTTTGTTAAGTTAATGTGATTTTACGTACAATAGCGAAGATTCTGTGTATATTTTTCGTAGAATTGTCGGTATAATAATTGAACAAGAAGTGCCCAGTAGCTTTCATCAGTCTTATGTTGGGCATCAAGTCCGCGACTAGCCCCTGTTGCTTGAATTTCATCATCTGAAGCAAAAAGTTTGGAAGAACTTAATTATATTCCGTCGAAAGTATATTATATGGAAAGAATTATTTCTAGTATCAGTAGTATACTTTGTATAGCATACTTTGTTTTAATTTCAATTGCATTGGATCTCTAATTCTAATTCATTATTTCCATCTTACTTGACTATATTAAATCATGGTGCTGACTTTTTAAAATATTTAAACATAATATTTCAGAAACATTTTTTTTCAAAGGAAAACGACATATTCTAAAAGAATTATAAAAATTAAATTGAATTTATTTGTTATGTGGTAATCATCACATCTTTATTATTTAAAATTGTAGATGAGACACGTATAAAAATTAAGTTATGAGAGACTATGTAAATTCATATGAAGTAAATTGATTGGGAAGTTATGTTCTATAATATTCTAAACATTTGTCATTGTAGACATTAGGGTAAAGTCAATGCAGGTACTCTAGGTCTTCATTACTTCTGTTCGTTGTTTAAAGGTTATCGAGTACTAAATTTGTAATAGATATTCATTCAAACTTTCTCATACACTAAAAGTTTTATCCAATCATATGTATTAGGTCGTTCGCAAAGTTTCTTTCGTTTTATAAGGAAATCATGGATGCACATTTTTCTTTTTATATTATTTTATCGAATTACGTATGATGCATTTTGTTCTATTAAGATAAAAATCGCAACGTTTGATAGATTAGGTTTCATGTTTGTATAAAGATTGTATAAGATCGCTGTAAAAGACGTGTCTGTAAAAGAAAGACACTTTTCGGATAACCTAATATATCGTGCAGATAATGACATTAACGAGACGTATTTCTTTGTTTATTTTTTCAATATAAACGTAAAGCGATAAACATGATAATTCACATTAATTGCGTATTATATTTAATGTTCGTATAATGAGTATACGCAAGACTTGTAAGTACGTATAGTTTAATAGTTGATGAGTATGGTGGTTTGTACCCTTGAGGAATTATTCATGGACGCGTTTGCGCGTTTAATTTCACATCTGTCATCGTATTGATGATAACTTTCGTGGTCTGTTACGGAGTTATAGCCTATAATAGAAGCGCAAAGTTTGTGACTCTTCTTTGAATACTAAAAGGATAGAACAAGCAAATGATAAAAATTCTATATTGTTATATGTTTCCAAATTATATTCCAAAAAATATTCAGTCTGTCTAAAAAAATTACACGTATTCAACTATAAAAACGCCATTAAACTACGTCCAACTTCCAAAACTTTCCACATTTGTTAACTACAATTCTAATAAGCATTTTAATATTTTACTCGATTGCAAATCTACGCTACTTCCAATATTGGTTAAGTTTGTTTTATATAGAATACCTTTTTCCGTGCCTGTGGATATAAATTGTTTAAAGACACGTTGATCGAAGAGAATTTTTTATCTTTGCAATTTTATTCGACGTTTCTGCTTGTGTATTTTAAAGGAAGAAAGTGTAATGAAAATTTTGAAGAAACTTGTAACGATTTCGAAGCAAAGAATTATGTAAAAAGCCTGTTACAAAGTTTGAATGACGTGATCATTTTGTAGAAATTTCGAACATCAGTATCAGTATCAATAATATAGATAAGTATCAAATATGCTAATATTCCTACGTTCTTTTTTTAAATTAGATAAATAACATTAAACATAAGTTTGGATAATTTGCAAGGAGTTTCATTTGTTGGAAATTCGCTGCGAATATAGCGAAACGCCTATAAACAATATTTCATGAAATCCATCTCTCAACAAGTTGTAAAAAAGTTTACCTCACAACTACGGTAGCCATAAATGACTATGTTTCGTAATGCCAATAACTTTCCTAAAACCACGCGCAGATTCACCGTAAACTACATAAACCACAAATAATACGATTTCGAAAATACATGCAAACAACAGCAAGTTTCATCGATTCTTGCTCATAAACGATTTTAAATATTTTACTGTTATACATAAAACGGGCAATTGCTTTAAGACATTAATTTCATGATATTGCTGCACGATTTCAAAGATTGTCAGTAATTTTATAACTTTGAGCTTCATAATAAAATTACTTTACTAATTCCTTAGAAAATCTATTTCGACGTTCGAAATATTGTTACGAAATATTGTAATTTTTTATGAAGATAGCTAAAATGCATCGATATTATCAGAATCTTTAAAGCATCCTTGAACTCGATCCCAGGCAATGGTTGTACTAAGAACATCGAATGCCGGATCAAGCATTAAAGTTACCGAATCTCGTCCCTTATTTTTTACACGAGCAAGTTTGTTCTTCGAAAAACTAACAAATATCTAAAAAAATCTTCAATCAAATTTAATTCTTAGTCCATTTAATTCAATAATAGAACTAATTATTTTAGTAAACTTAATTTAGTGAACTTATTTTAGTAAATCTAAATCAAATCACATCTCCATTCAGTTCCATGACATCATCACGATAGCGGAATATCAAATCACAGAACTAACATCAATCATACAACCACCCTCCATCAAGAATATTTAGAAACCTTCATATTATATCTCGATCCGATGACATCGATTTCACGATAGAGCTAACAAATGTTTCGAAAAATCTCGATCAAATCACTTCTCGATTCGATCCTTTTATATCATCACGATAACAAGAACATTAAATCACAGAACTAACATCGGTTCTACAATTTCCAGCCACCTTTTTCTATCAAAGATACTCGGAAACCTTTACACCACATCTCGATTCATCGACGAAAATGAAAAATACTTTTTCGCCAAAAACATCGATTCACAAATCGATGTTTAACTTTCAGATGTTCTCTCACCTTGAGGCGGGTACGTTGTTACGCGATTCAAATCCACGATGAAAACGCGAACTCCTCGCGAGTTCGCCGAGAGAAACGCGGTGCGTGCAGCCGGGGGGCACACGTTTATCGACGAAAACTGACACACGAACAGCACGATGGATCGTCACTGCTCGGTAAGCCAGGGGTTCCTCTTCGTTTTTTCTTTTCTTCCCACCCCCTGGATATCCGCCACCTGTCGTACCGATGACACCCCTCCAGGTCGGCAGGGTACCAAACGTGGACCAATCGCCGACAGGGCACCGAAGCGCAGACGTCCGAGAACGTTTGTTGCCGGCTTGCTCGTTGCCATATTGTTTCTTGTACCGTCGACACGGAGCTTCCTAATCGCATCAATTATTCAGATTTCGACGACTGCAACCACCACCGTTCGAGAAACTACAGTAAGGGCGGGAAGAAATATGCCGTGACCGATAAGAAAGTCTCGAACACTCATATTCTCGAAAGTTGAAACACGCCACAGTAATTCTTCGGATTATTGGGATTTGCAATGGAAACGTCCCTTCTTTGCTTCCAAAATTTTTATTGATCCCTTTATCCTTGGAATTTAGGGAAGTTATTTCTCTGAAGGTTGATTTGCTGGTAGAGATTGCTGATTTTTATGTAATTTCATAAAATGTTATGCAGTTTTTACGAGGAGAAGCAAAGTTTCTTCAGTTAAGGATTTTGACGAGTACCTTATTTTGGATATTTTATATGTTCTTGTAAATTATATGGAAAGAACTAATAGTACGTAATTTGTTTTGTCTACTAAAAATTGTAATTAGGAATTTCTTTTCCTAAAAGTTGATATATTAATAGGCTACCGATTTTTATGCGATTTCATATCTTCGTGAAGAGAATTGAAGGAATGATTGTAATATATTGTAATATATTTCTTCTTCTTTTCTTCGCTTCAGATATTAACTAAATTACTAGACAAATATGTACCAACGTCTTCACCATAAAACTGAAAGGATTGAAATGTTACATCCTAAAGGAAGCATAGTTCGATGAAGAATACTGAAGCAATTTTTGCTTCATACTCAAATACTTTACTTCAAATACTCTATGAATACCCTGTTTATTTTATCGATATAAAGGAAATGTCTTTCACAACTCAGTATCGGTATTTTATTAGTATATTCTGCATTTAAATTATCTTCTTTTCCTATTACATTATATTAACTTTTAAATTTTCACACAGATGTTCTTTCTGTTTCCAAAATTAACAACTCGTAATTTAATTTACGCGATATTTATCCAAATATTAGAGATAAATGGTAGATGTTAATCATAATTCATCATAATTCTTAGATCTATATTTAAGGAAAAGAAGTTTAAGAAAATTAGTTTTGGATGAAAAGTGGATGATTTAATGACCAGTCCAGGTGGTAGATTAATATTCTTTCGCTATTCTATATTTTTCCGTAATTCATAACAGATATAAAAATGTTAGAAGGTACAAAAATGAAGTTTGTACAGAAACTATCGAATTGTATTGTAATATCGATTATATCATAAATTTTTTATTTTTCTAAATAACAAAGTTTTTACATCGAATTAGTTCTGCTAGTACCAGGAAAAACAGAAAATTTATACAGTAAGAGAGAAACAATATTTAATAAAATAATTAAATTATATTTTTACATTTTAATCAGACAAACTTATTGTATTTGTTCTACGTTTGCGAAGAAATATTTTTATGTAATAAAGATTATCCGCGTTATTGCTTAACGGTTCTCAATGTAAAGACGTCATATTAAATAATGGAAGACTACAATTACGTACACATACATATGTTAGTACATTCATCAGTAATTTGCTTTACAACCTGCATTTTAAATAATATGCAACGTGGTACAATCATAGCTCAATCAATAAATTACATTTAGCTGATTTAAAATTCATTAGGTCGTGTCTGTACATACAATGTAATTTATATTATATTTCAAGTTTATATATATATAATTAATAAATATATTTGTAATCTTTGTTAATAAACGTTTCTTTCGCATCATAGTACAATATAAAAACAAAGCAACTTCTGATATTCTTATGTCTCTATATTTATTTATCACGCATGTTTCAAAACGCAATTTTCAATCATTTTTTAGAATTTATAAGTCAATTGGTTAAACAATTTGATACAGTTTAGAAGATGGAAAAAGTAATTCTCAATTGCTACGACTGACACGTTGATTTTCATTTAATATTGATATTTGATACGATTTTTTTCCATCTTGGAAGAAACTTTCCACGATAAAGATTCTAATTTACTTTATTCGTTATTTACACGAACGTTGTCTTCTTTCGTGTTTTTCATACGTCGTCTCTTCAACTGTAAAGCTGGAAGAAAATCTCAGAGTAGTTATCTAGGGTATGTTATAGATGTTCATACATGCTTATTATAGAGGTACTTTAAACAGCCTTGACACTATTTACGTCAAGTGATCACAGAAAACTCGTGATACCAAAGCTATGATTAATTAAAATACCTTCAGACGAAGTATTCTTCAAGAAGCACACAGGAAAATGAGAACTTTTATTTGTCGCATCTGTTTCACACAAGTAGAACGACTTTAACTGAGTTTCTGGAAGATTATAATCTACGTATCGTAATTTACAACACCTTTCAATATTTTATTTAAAAAATTGTGACTCGATCAAAGGATAAGATTTTTATAGTATCATGCTGTATTTTATATTATGGTAAAATATATATGGTATGGTAGAGAAATTATTTTAAAAGACTATGAATAATAATATAAATTGTTTCAAATAATTTGAAATATATATATCTTTCCTGTGAATTATGTTCCATCGCCTAAAGAAGAAATTTCAGAGACATCAATGTCGGAAGCGGAGCGAAGATTAATTCTAAATAAATTACATACATGCGCATGTACTTGGAAATATTATATCAAAAAGTTGCAAAGATGGTCTAATGTATTACGTTTTGACCACATTATTAAGTCTGAATTATTTAGATATCAGTTTATTCAAATCTATAAATATTTATCAATATTTATTTATTTATCCATACAATAAATATTTATCCATAACAATGTCATCATAATAGTGATTATGATAATAAATAGCGTAAGAAAAATTATTAATCGTAGGGGAGCTGTTTCCAGTGCCCTGAAAAACAAACGTCTGCTCGAAAGTCAGTATTCTTTTATTTACTCGAGCACCGTATTTTGTTCATTCTACAACCGTCGATCATAGACGTTTTCTTTTGTTAGAAGCGAACGGACATATCCATCGTTTGTGGATTTTTCAACTGAAAATACGGTTGATATTATATTTTGAAAGTCTGAAATACATCGAATTGAACATCATCTTACATTTTCTTATCCAAGTTGGAGGTATTTTCTGCTGAAATTTTGCGAGGTATGACAAGCTTTGTAGTTTCAACGTCTGGTATTACGAATCAGTTTTATTGCCGAATGTAATATGTACAACTTACTGTTTTTTATCAAATATAAATCTCTCGTTTTAAGAAGCAAAATGTTACAAGAACATTTCTTGACGGTTTTGTTGGGCGCAGCGATGTCGATGACGCTGTCTTGTTCTGGATTTAACCCGGAACGCTCGGGTAACGTACAAAATATTTCTCTTCTGTAAAATAATCATTGTCGATAGTAAACATCCGACAAACATGAATTTCTTTCTCCAATTTTACGGAGCAAAGTTACATTTCCAAATTATTTCATACAGCTACTTTGTACTGAAATCGTGTCTTTTTTAGCAAATATTCCAACTACCTGGAACGTGGTATCATCGCTGGAAACCGAGCAGAAGGCTACGGTGGATCACGTCTCTAGTACGAAAACGGAAGCGACTGGTGCCGACAAAGGCTTGCAAATTTCGGACACAAAGTTGTCGACGAGGACCATCGACCAAACGAGTCCTGCGGATACGACGCGCGAGAAAAGATTCGGTTTTGTCATGGAGAATATTGAAAGTGACACGCGTTTCCCGAAAGCCAAGGACGCTAATTTTGTAAAAGAAGCAGTGGCTATGGAAACGATCTCAAGTTCTCCTCCACGGAATGTCGTCGTGATTATCGCTGATCCGGGTCAAAATCAGGAAGATTTCTGGAAGAGTTTCAAGGCTTCGCGTCTGTTCTCCGTTGAAGGGATGCTTCAGGTATAATTTCGTGTCAGTTATGATGTGTTGATATAATTTTAATAATTAGATCGGTAAATAATTAAATAAATAAGCAAGGACACATCACATGCTTAAATTTCGGGTATGTGTGAGATGAGAGGAATTTTATAGGATAAAATAAGGCTAAAATCAAGTATAGCAAAATTATGTGAGCGAGTTTACAAACTTGTCAATTTATTTTGTCTTTTATTAGCAATTGTCTTAATTAGCAATTACGAACATCGTTTAATTCAGAAATCAAATGTTCAATTTAACATCAATGAAATAGAAGAAACCAAAGACAACAATTGGCGAGCAAAAGCGTGTTGTTCAAATTAATGATAGAGTTGACTGAAAAATTGAAATTTATTTTAGAGTTGTAACAATATCCAAGCAGACAAGGCAAGATTCTCTTTGGGCGATGCACTAATTCCCGGCAATAGGGACAAGAAACATGATTGCGAACATTTCCTACGTTCAAACATTGCAACATTGCTGCTTTGGACTCGAGATGTTAAGGGAATGACTACAGGTATAGCTCTTCAAAATTTATGTAACGCTGTACTTTGTAAATTTATATTGTGTTACATTATACGCGTAAATTAATAATTGTATATAGATATAACGAGGAGAAGCCAATGATTATCCTCAATGCGCTTGTAAGTTTTATTTCAACAAAAATAGTCAGTTTGCAGTAACATAACCATAATCTCTTTGCTTCTCAACGTATTTGTTTGAAATCGCACAAGTTCTTTTATGTCTTCAGCATAAATAATAATTCGTCTATATTTTTATATTTTATGTTATTCTACAATATTCTTTTTCTAGTAACAACATTTTTTTTGTAAACAGGAACATTATCCAACGCGAACTTCACTATTCCATCGTTGTTCGGATTCGAAGAATCGGTAGGGTTCTCAAAAGACTTCGACGAAATTGATGAGATTAACATGAAACCGGAAGTTCGTAAAGCAAAGCCGGAAATTCGTGGTGACTGGCACGTTATCGACTTAGGAAAACCAATTGATCGAGTCCCTCCTTTGATTCCTCCACAAAACGCTCGAGAAGACGGTGAGTATCTTAATTGTATAAATATAAGACAGCATTTAATAAAATATTTAATAACGTTTAACGTAACACACGAATCTTTCAAATTGCTAATATTCCCTATTTTCAGGAAATCTATTTTCTTATTAAATATTTTTTATTATTTCAATTACAAATCTTCTAATACGAATCTTTTGAATATGTGGGCGCAATTTATAATAAATTTTTTCTTCTTTGATCAGTTGAAAATTTAATTGTCAAATTCAAATTTCAAAAAAACAATTTTTCTCATATGCACCAATCTGACAGTATGAAAAAAATGTTGTAACTGAGCATCAATTTTGCAATATAAATATTTTTCAATCGCTATATGTAATATAGATGAAGCTGCGTGGAACGTGTTCGATATGTTCTCCAAAATAAGACTCGTTCTGTTTCGGTCGTTGCTGGAATCTCTCGGTAGAAACGTCGCTGCCTCAGAGGACCCTATTTCCTCTCATAAATCGCATCTTCTTCGATCCAATTTTGTGGACATGGTCGAGGAGCTAAAGTCAGTTGAAAACGAGAAAGGTTTCATATTGGTTGCTTCGCTGTCTGCCAGCGAGCTCGATTCAGCATTGGAGTTTCTACAGCGCGAAGTAAATAATTTTGCAGGAATCTGTAATGCTTTTGATTCATGCAATTTAATTTCCAAGTATATAGTATGTCTTATTTGTTGCTATTATCAAATAGAGATGATCTAGGATAGATGAGAAAAGTAATTGTACGCTCAGTTTTCTCGAGACAACATATGTACGAAAAAATAGTAGAAATAATACTCATATTTTGTGTAATAATTTCGTTTAAAAATGTTTATCGCGGTTCAAAATTTATGCTTGATACAAGATATGAAAGGGAAAACGAACTCTTTTTTTCTTTTCTATAATAATTTTTGTTTTCGCGATAAGCGAATGGTATCGAGTTGAGAAAGTCATTTGGTATTTCCTTAACAAGGATAACTCGTTAACGCTTTCGCTGCTACTAGGATTAATTACGATATACAAGGATTTCCCGTCTTGTACTGGAATATCGTTAGTGTACTATTAAACGAAGAGTATTTTTTTCAAAGTACTTACATTCACAACGATCTCAACTTTTTCACTTGTTCTTAGATTTTTTTATTTTAAAATCATTCTGTTTCGTTTTACTTCTTTATATCGTGTCAAAAATTCTCATCGATTAATGTTAATAAAATGATGATAAAAGGCATTGCAGGATACGCTGCTTGTGGTGATAGGAGCCTGCCCGCACGACGGCAAACCTGTACCATTCTTTGCACAAGGACCATCCGCCAAAATGATTCGCGAGGCTATAACAATTTGGGACGTTCCAATTGCCGTTAAACATGTCATTGCCAATGGCTGTCAGGACTCCGGCTGCAGAAATCGTCGACATGATGCTAACTCGCCTCCTGTTGCTCAGTTGAAGATTATACCACATAACGTGGCCGTGCTGAGAAGAACGTCTCGAGACACTGCTAAAAAATCGGTGAGACAATGTTGATCTTTTCTGGGACAAAAATAATTTGTTGCAAAATTATGCAAGAAATACTAGAATATTACAAATTTTAGTTGTTAGTTTGTTGTTACGTTAGAGTGTGCATTAGAATCAGCGTCGGAATACTAATCAAAGGATCAAATATTTGAGGAAATGAAACAGATGACACTGTAATATGATAACGAGTAACGAATAGTATGATTAGTAGCATTGACTACTACTCCGTTTATCATAAATGAACGATAAGGATAGTGCATAATAATAAATGAAGGATAGAGACAGAGGTGAACTGTTCGTTGAAAGTTAGAATCGAATTCACCGGTATGACGACAGTTTCAAACTGTCCAAGAATACTTAATACAAACCACTTCCGAGTATAAATAGCGTTCTTCGATAGTAACCTAGACATTGAACCTGAGAAAACAGTGTAGTAATAGGAATATCATGATAGTCGTAGTAATAACGTTCGCTTTTGTTTCCGGGATTAACAATTCCTATGATGGTGAATGAAATTCAAAAAATAGGAATTCGTTCGATATTCGGAAACAATGCTTTTTCGATGAAATAAAACGAAACTTAACAAATTAATTAGCATGTAAACGATTAATTAAATTTTATTTAACCAATGACAAATTAGATGCCTATATACATACTTAGTAATATGATTAATAAATTAGAATACCTTTTTCACGGAAAATAGAAAATCTTTTTGTGCTTCTGTCAAATACCACTAGTTTCGCTCATCATATTATCTTATTTGAAATATGATCTTCAAAGTATCTTGTAAAACTATTGCGTGTAGTATAAAGGTCATTTTAAGTGTATAATATTCTTTTATGCGTTTCTACATACATCTAACTTCGTTAAATTATTCGGACGAAATAAAACGATTGCATATTTACGTCAATAAATTCTTAATTGAGAACAAAAATTGTCAAGTGATGTTTTAAAAGTAGAATACATAGGATAATATATATACATAATAATAGAATATAAATACAAATGTTGAATTCCACAAAAGGATCGATTTCGTATGGACATTTTGATACATGTAATTCAAATTCATGATTCTGACACAAGCTGAAATTAATCATGACCTTTCCGGGTATAAGATATATCAGAAAAATGTTTCTAACATACATTCCGCAGGTATGCAATCGATATGTGACAGTATGTAAAGTTACGTGCGAATCGGTGAATGGCGCTCAATTTTTTGATCTCCGATCATACTAAGACAATAATTTAACAATATTTAGATTAGAAGACAATCGAAATAATATAGACACATGGATATAAAACTTTTAAGTGGCATGACGCTATGGAGAAATAAATAAATTTCCTCATCAAATTTTTATTCAACATACGAAATATCACCTGTTACTTTATTAACTTAACATTTCTGTCGAGGTAATTTTAACCGTAACACCCACGTTTCACATTACCAGCTCTCTTTTAGTATTATTCCCGGCTGAATATCAAATATGATTCGTGTCGAAAAAATACGCGAATGGGAAAAGTAATATGACGGAGGGACTGATACTTGAAACTACATCTCGTATATATCTCTATGTATACCTCGAGGACGAGGTTAACGTCGATGGAATACAATCGTTAACAGTAAAAGAACACAGTTAAAGTTGAGGCACGTACTTGTAGGCTACGATAATTAATATAATCATAATTGTAAATAAGCGTGATTTATGTAAATATTGAGTTAATTTGTAGTTGCGAAAAAATTTCTCGTTTACTTGGAAATCGAACGAATTATTAATTACTACGGTGCAGTTTAATTAGTTCGTAGTCATATAATTAATTATCATAATATAAGTAGTTTTTATGATGTAGACGTAATTAATATATAACAAAACAGAGTTAAAAAAATCGTTAAATGGCGAAGAATTATTTTCCTAAAGAAAACTAGGACTCTTTGCAATTCGCTTTGTAACTTTTTGTACACTTTTTTCATAACAAACTCTGATTTGCAATATAAATTTGCATGATAAACACATGTTATATCGTGTAATAGTATACGTTCTTGAACTGCCATTCCGTAGTAAATGTTCCACTTATCATAAAATGATAAATGGGAATTCAGTATAGAACATGAAACAGGAATTTTTCCATCTATTAAGGCTATTTTTATTACACAGATATATTAGTATATATTCTTTTTTTATTTTTACACTGAAATTATTTGCTATGTATTAATTATAATTAATTATTATATAACACCTCAACGCCTGGCATCGTTGGATCATAGATGATCAAAACAGTCTGAGTTAGATTATTTAACGTTAATGATTATTTAATTTTATTTTGCATTTACGATATTCTATATAATTTTAATTATATATTTATATTGTATAAAACATAAAATATAAATTAAGATTAACTAACCCAAAGTACTATAATGTAACTATAACTCAACGATATCAGCTAGAAGTTAAAAAAATTTCTTTTTAATTAGATTTGGCGTTACAAGCTTCTTTTATTCAGAACAAAGTTACAAATTAATGAAGATTAGCCAGTATTAGTTAGATTGGTCTTAGTCTTTGTAAATATAAATCAAACACAAGCTGTAATGTAAATCGGTTACATTGCTGTATTAATAATACAGATGGCAAATTATTTCTACTTTTCCAATTGTTGGATTAAATAAATTACCATAAATGCTAATTCATTATACGTTATAAATGTATAATTATAATAATTATGCATTCGTAAGAGTATTTATTGGTAATCAAATGTTGCAATTCACTGTACAATAAAATAAACATTTTGTTGCAGGATGAGGGCAACAAAGCTGAAGTTCCAAGTGTTAAGGTAAAACAATACTTCGTCTTCTAAACAGTACTTTATCCAGTATGTTACGCTGTGAATTAAATAAGTTTGCGAAAGGAAAATACGCACTTTCACTGCTAGATCTGAGTCATGCGTGCACAATGTTATATTAATTTTCATTTATTATCGTTCACGATATACGATAATAGATCCTAATATCATTGCTATCGGCCATTACATAATTTTTTTAAATAGAAAACTATACCATTCGCCTAATTCGAATTCGATTTTGAAACGAAAACATAAAGTTAGAATCGTCATTTTTATTAATCAGAACAATTGGAAACATCGCATGAGCATTATATAAACGTCATTTCTGCAATCGTATTATTGTGAAACATAATCTCAATATTATATAAAATAACTCAAGTTATAACTAACTCTTAATATTGAATTAACGTTGTCTTCTTCCTTTCAGCAGAACGAGGTTGTTAAAAATGTTGCCGACTTAAACACCAAGGTAAAGTATTCACAATTCTATGTTTAATTCGTTGGAAGTCTAATATTCGTTTTATATAAATTTTAATTCATTTCAAATTTAATATTTATTTCACATAAATCGCATATTGCGAATATATCAACTTATCTTCATTCGGATGATTTGAATAACACTGCAAACTAATAATCCCTTCTTTTAGAGATACGTATTAGCTTTAAAGTGACGAAAAGTATACTTCTTCCGACATAGAATTGAAATTGCCGTGTCCATTAATCAGAGTAATTAAAAGCGTCGCGTGGACATTATATAAGCGATATTTCTGTAATCCTATCAATGAATAACGTAATCGTTATGTAGTTAGTTATTTCACCCAGCCTTATTATCACATTAATATTATCTTCCTTTTTTTTCAGCAGAACGAAGTAGTTAAAAATGTGGCCGATTTAAATGTCAAGGTAAAGTATTTAAATTTCAATGCTTAATTCGTTGTAAGTTTAATATCTATTTCATATAAATTTTAATTCATTTCAAATTTAATACTTATTTTACATGAATTGTATATTGCGAATGAACCAATTAATTTTCAGTTTAATGATTTATATAGCATTTCAAACTTAATATTCTTTTATTTTTTCTTAAATCTCACTACTAGCTCTAAAATAAAAAAAAAGAAATCATTTACTTACAATTACGATACATTCATTTTTGTTAATCGAAACTGAAATATATATATGTATATACTGAAACATTCGTAAATACTTGCTTGCAGGAGGAAACAGTAAAGACCGAGGAGAGGGATGCATCACCAGAATCAGATATGAATTCAGCAAACTTTAAAATTGCGGAGAAGTTCACCACGATCTTTGGCGTAATTGTCTCGTTGGTTGGCGTATTTGTCCTTACCTCCTAAAAAAAAGATCTTTGGCATTGATCTCATAATCGATGACCCTAATTTTTAATTTTCTTTTATGGAAATTGCGTCAAAAATGTCCTGGGTAAAACAAACGATATTAAAATCTTCGTCATTTCTGAGTTTATAATTGCTGCTTTTTGTAAATTTTGTTTTCTCCTTATGAAGCTGTAAATTTTTAATTCTGAATATGAGAAAGTGTCTTAAATGGTGCAAAATTTTATTAAGTTGTCATACCAGAGAAACTCCTTTTTTCCCCAATATTTTTGCTACATATTTTTCGTTAGTAACAAATTCCCGGATAAGAATGTTTTTTACATAAGCATGAAGAATAAAGAGAAACAAAGTCCATGGATTAAATAATCGCCTTACTACATTTAAACATTTAAACTGAACGTTGAGATATTCTCGTATTCCATTTGTGTGTTTTTCTTCTGCATTTTATTTTTCTTCAAATTTCAAGATATATAAAGCATGGAACATTTCAAAACATAAAATAAAGATATATAAATAGCAATTGATTGATTTAAAAGAATTGTATTTTTATTATTTATACTATGATCAAAATTGTGAATTATTTTATAAATAAAAAAGTGCTTTAAAACACGTTCTTTCATTTCACGTATTGTTGGTAATAAACAGGTTTGAAATATAGTTTCAGAAAGTTTAATAAAATTTTTAAGCTCTGGATGAAATCAAGTAAAACAGAAAGAAAAATCTTAATATTATGATTGCAATTAAAAATGTAATAAACGTAATTCTGTTTTCTAAAGCAAATGTTTTTTAGTTTTATTACCAACCAATAATTTATATTTAGTTGGGGATTTCAAAATACAATATAAAAATAGAGGGAGAAAAGGTGAATTAGAATAAACTGAAAAAATGTATTTATTTTCCAATCAAACGTATAATTAAATAAATTGACACAATAACCCAATTACATGAAATTAAAATGTATAACGAGACTTTTCGTTTACAATTCGTGTATTGCAGCAATAATTTCTAATTGACCTAGTAACGCACGCACATATTTGGTAGTAGTAGTGACATTTATTGCACCATCCGTACATTTCAATGTTTCCGGACACAATACATGGTATAAGCATAATAAGAGTATGTAAAATATGTAAAAAAAACCATAACACTATTCGGATAACGGACATATGTGTAACGCAACATAACAGCGCTGTTGAATTTCGAAAGCATTCCATTTTGATGACTATCAGGGTAAAAAACGATGCACCACACGCAGCTACGTTACTTCCTGGTCTTAAATTACGTAATTATTCGATTTCAAGTTTCTAAAATTCGTACGTTGCTTTCCTTATCCATTACTTTCCTTTCCTTTTTTTTTCAATTATTGTATCATTTCGTTGGGTTTCATATCTTTCTCCGACGTCTTAACCATTCGTTAATTTGTAGAAAACCACAAATTTCTAGAATACTCTAATTACTATATTTGTTTTATTAAATTATAAAAAGAATATTGCTAGCTTCAAATATATTAAAAATATTTTATGAAAATGAACGTTTGTAAATGAAATTTAAAGTAGTTTACATCAGTATTAAAAATGTTTAAGAATTTCTTTAGCATGCGTTCGTATGTTTTTTGCTTTACTGACCTTACGTTGATGTTACTACTTGGTTGTATAAGAAAAATGATCATCTTTGGTTTTTGTGCGACTTGACACTATTTTCCTAGCTATCACGATAACTACACTGTATTTTATTCAATAAAGAATCTTTTCAATATCGTAGAATGTTACCATTATTATAATGATTCTAAGAAAAAAGAATAATATTTCAGTGACTACAACTTAAGTAATATTCATATATGTTTTATAAATAACACAATTATACGTTATTAATCGTTTACAAATGTAACTTCCGACATTTACAGCAAGAAAAGCTTACAGCTAATTAATCATTTCTAATTTTTACTTGAAAACAAATAATTAGTATACGTAGATTGCGTGATACTAACACTATAACGATAAAATGATAGATCAGAATAGAATACTAAACAAAATACTGCGCTAAAATATAATACGACATACAATAGGGAAATAAAATTTGAAGAACGTAGATATGTATTTTTATATAGTATTATTTAAAAATATTTTAAAAATTATATATATATTATCGCATAACGTTAATTATTCGGAGGAAATACATGTTTATTGGAATTCTGAAAATTCGTCTGAAACGTGTATAAAGAGCAACGTCGAGAATAATGTCAAGAAAAGGAAGAATAATAATATTTTGTGTTTATGTTTATGTATATGAGTGTGAAGTATAAGGATAGTATAGATTTGACATTTTTTAAGAATAAATTATAGTTACTATGTAATTAACGTCGATAAATATTTCTTCTAATATTCTGTTATAACATATTGACATACAAATGCGTTAGAAATGATCTATTAATGGTAATTAATAATGAAAAACCGTACAATTCTCACTTACAATGCTATTGACATCGTTTCATTCGATTACATTTTCAAAAAACTTTTAAAATATATCTGGGTTACTAAATCAAATTTCAACAGCCATGAGATATTTATTTTTATATTTTGTTACGCTTGTAAATTCCGTGCTAGATCTACATAGGGCAATCAGGTTTATCAAGGCTTAATATACATCAGGTACGCTCAAATTTTGATAACATATATCAACAAATTCTGTAAGCAATATAAGAGAAAAAAGAGATTTACTATGTAGATACATATTAAAGTAAGTATAGGAAACAGAAAAAACTGGAAAAAGAGCTAGTCAGCCAACATTACTACGTCCAAGAAAATCTGGTTTGATCGCATATTAAACTGTATATTCAGTTGATTGCTGAAACTCATTTGCATATTTCTGAAGAAACAACTGTTGCATTATTGTATAGCGGAAATTGTTTATTCTAAGGGGTAACAAGAAATGTTTATAAAAAAAGAGGTAAATTTTGTAAAAAAAGGGAGGACTGATTGAATGTATAAAAGAATATTCGTTATTGAAGAAAAGAATTAATGCATTTTTAATACATTGACGAGAAAACTAAAAATTTCAAAGTGAACAAAGTGAAGAAACTGAAGACGAAGACTATAAATTATTTAAGATAAAAATATTCAGTTTCATGTCAATGGAATTACGCTTTCTCACGCTGTGAGTGACTTAAAATTGCTTGTACTTTCAGGAGGATTAATTTGGTTTCCAATATTTAGTTAACAAAATAAATTTGCTTTACACCGAACGAATCCACGGCGTTTGCATTAATTCAGGAGAATTTATCTAGGTAATTGCACCGGAACTCCGTTTATTCGAACGAAATTTTAAATAACGCCGGATTAACTGACCTCGTGCCAATTAAATACCTTTAGTTTAGAATAAAAGTTAAAATAAAAAATTATAGTTCGTGGGAATAAAATCCTATGATATTAAGAACGAATAAATTCCTACTATATCAATGCGTAACATATAAATTAAATAACAGAAGAAATCGTATATCCATTATTTTAATTTACACACAAAAGGATTGATTAAATTACAACATAAAAGAAATTAACCCGCTTCTCTATTGAGAAAGTAACAATTTGCACGTTCATGTCTTTAGTCTAGGAGAAACGATGTGTCACAATCTAATATTATTTCTTCTCCAACAAACAGAATCTTATTGAATTTTCATAACGAACGAAAGAAGAGGATTTTTAAATCTGATACACTAAATACCAAAAATTGGAGGATAATTGAAAGTATTTTTCTATTTCCCTAACAGTATATCCATCTTGCAGGACATCCAAGTATCGATTGTGGTCGGCTTTTCTTCGTTCTGTGTGACTCGTGGAGAGAAAAGCGAGAGTGGGGCATCACACGATATAAAGGAGAACCGGTCCAAGAGGTAATCGTTCCCACTCCATCGACCGTTCTCCATCTCTTCGGTTCGCCACACGAGTATCGTGCATTTCTCTTTCCGTGACCGGCCGTACTTGGTTATCACCGTTGTCGTCGATTGTTCTTCACGATTCCATCGTACCGTTGTTTTCAGGATCGACGTTTCGTCGCTATTAGACAAGGTAAGGGTGCAAAGCCTATTACGAACCTCCATTTTTTTGAAGCCAACTGAGGCCAATTGACCTCTCGGAAGCCAAACTGATTAATGCGCTTTATTTATACTTTAGACGATAAAGGTATAGAACTTGTATCAAAGAAATTAAAGCGTAGAAAATAGGAAAAAATGTATAATAAAAATTGCTATAAAATAATATAAAATTTGCTAATAAAATAAAACACAAGCTCTTTTATTCGTGTATTTTATAAGAAATCATTTAAATTTTTAACAATGTATACTGTTGCAAATTTACAAAATTCCTATGAGAAATTACGAATTGGTCGTTTCTAGTATTCTAACGGTTCCAGCGTTAATGTCGCTTTTGCGAATTTTTTGATTTCACCGATCAGAAACGTAGCTGTCATTCGACTTCTCGAGAAAAAAATATGAATATAAATGTGAATTTTAGAGACTAACGCTTGTAATATCTTCACTTTTTACTTTATGTAGTTTATCAGTATGGCTTCTCAGTAGAACATTGAACGTTATGGAGCACGTTAACATTTTTTAATATTCTTTTACGACGCGAAGATATGGGATTTGAATGAGTAGTTCTGCATCTGAGTTATGGCTATGGTTTGTTGACCTTTCTAAGATTTTCTCTGACATCTAACGATCATTGAGATTATTAGCTGATTTTGAAATTAATGTTAAAGATATTTTGTAAATGACGAATGAAAGATAAGCGTTCTATCAATGTTTATCGCGTAAAGAGCAGTTTAAAAATACAGTCGATTGAAAGTGAAAGTGATTCTCGTTTCTTATCCTCGAGGTTTTGCTTTTCCCTACTTAAAGTGGTAGTTTCGACAGCGTCGATGAGTTGTTATATCCTCAGAGAGTGAGTTTAGTGAGCATACTGAGGACTTTACGAGTTACATTAATTAAATTAACTAAATTAAGGGCGAAAGAATTGGGATCGTTTTCTGCGATATCAAAGGTAATTAAGATTCGCGGATTAAAAAATAAATAGTAGAAAAGTCTATCAATTGAGAAATAGATTCATCTATTAAGATTCAAATTAAATTCAATTAAAATTCTAAATTAAAATCACAAATGTGTTTCGAGCGCTTTATGTAAATTTTTATGTAAATTTATATTTAATTTAATATTTAAATTAATATTTATGTAAATTATGTATGTAAATTTTTCAATTTAAAAAGTGTTTCTATCTAAAAATACGTTCATACCAAAATTTTTAATATTTAGGATATCCTTAGATTTTACAACAATAACAAAATTTGTACCAATGAAAAAGTGGTTTGACGTTTAACGATATAGTGGAGCGTAGGTGCTTTGAGTATACTTTGAACGTAAGTCGAGTGTAATATGAACCAAAAGCTATGGAAGTTAAAACGTAATTCGAAAGTTTCGAAACACTAGTCTAGAGATTTAAAAGCTGCACGTATCGAAAAGCAATTTCAGTTTCCTATCGCAAAATCGTTCCACGAGAAAGCAAGCGTAGTTTCTCTGCGAAAGTGAGGTTTACATTTTCAGTAGTTTTGCGATTATCGCGATTCCCGCTTACGTAGCACAGAACTTCCACGTTTCGAAATCACGTTTTAAGCTTTCCCTTTGACTTCGTACACCGTCGCATCGTTTGACTCAAACAAAATTCATCGCACCATAATGGTTCTTCGTTACGAATCTAACTCACATTAGCATCTCAAACAACCGACATGTTACCGTTTTTAATTCCCAAACAATCAGATGTGTAACCAGATTACACAAGCATTTGCATGTAAAGGTCGTTTAGAGTAAATGTCAGTGAAAAAAAGACAGGTATTTGTGTGAATCTCGATCCAATGTCGAAGACGTACGTTTCTATGTCCAGTTGATCATCTTCCTGTTCCTGTTTTCCGTTTATTCCGATCATTATCGTCTTATGATTAGATCATATGTGAAGCCGTAATTGTTTCGCTTGATTATTTATGCACCGACAAGAAGAAGAAGAAAATTAAAGAGAGAAAAATTCTCATCGTCGTTTAGTAACATTCAATTTTTCCACAGATGAAATGGTCATATAGACGAATCGAAGATTTTCGATATTTACATCCAAAAGTTTCCATTTCTATTTCTCAAGCAATATTGCTTATAGAAATATTTCAATTTTATTAGAAGCGATCTTACTGACTTTCAACAACTTTCTTCTTCCTTTTTGGATATACTCTGCGTTTTCGACTATTCCAATATTGATCTCCAATTTTTAAATTTCAAACTTTCATTTCTTCTTTCCAAGCAAACGTAGTCCACGACGTTGTCTAAACATCTATTCGAAAATTTCTGATGATTTGAAGCTTTCATTCCTTTAAGCAAATACCTAGATCCTTGCATTTTTCATTAGAAGACTTCAACTGTTAACATTTTTTTTAACAAACCAAACTTTCATAAGAAATATAAAATTCAACCGAGTCGCTAATATGTTATTGCACCAGTATGTCTCCTATGACAAAAATTGTTTGCATTTGTAATATTCCACAAAGCAAGGATCAAAAGGAAGCAGGAGGTCGACTCGGTAAATCTCAGTAGAATATTAGTACGTTCTATACTTTTTGCCACGTTCACGAGTCGCCTTTCCAACCATCGTTACCCAATTTCAGGTTTTATCAAGGACAGTCTTTGGTAACATGTTATATAGCTTTAGTACTGCACAACAATGCCTCTTTAAATGAAAAATCCTTGTTTTTCTATAATGCCACTAGATCATCCAGTTAGTCCGATCCTATTCTGATGACCATGTAAATCACCGTGAATTTAGCTTTCAGAGTTTCACCTTTTTTATTCATAGTAGTAGTAGCCTTTCTAATGGGATATTAGCAAACTAATTTAAATTACTGGTTGATTTGGAAAAGGTTGGTTTGTTAAAAGAAATTTTGGAGGTACTTTTTATTAAAATTTTTTAGTTTATTTTTTATAAAGGTAGAATTATAATATATTATTTTTAGATTAGAATTAGAATAAACGTAAACGTTATATAAATATCCTGACACTTTTGTTCACTTGCGCTAACGGTATTTGAATATAACCAATGTGTACAAATTAGAAATAGCACTATCTCTTCATGAAACCAACAAAGTTCAAATTTAAATTATCTGTTAAAAGATAATAATAATACATATATTTAACTATTATTATATATTACTACGTATATTGTTACGTATTACTATACGTACACGTACTATTATGTATCTTTATTATTTAAAAGTCACCGCTTATATTAGTGTCAGAAATTTTGCTATCGATTTAAAAAAAATTTCACAATCTGACTTGTGATTAAAAAATTGAAGGGTTTGAAGTTTGATTAATGTTCGATTTAGAGATGTGATAATATTTCGTGATAAACGTAAATGTTTGTTGTATTTTCACTTGATTACATAAAGAATAAATAACGTTTGTATATAAATGGTTGGTTTGTATGCATTTGAAAATTGCTTCCATGGAATGAATAATTCATCCTCGGGACATGTGTTCATGCTGATTTGCACAGATGTCATTTTACATTGTGTTTGTATACAATACAAGGTGACGATAAATTAAATGCCTTCATGGTTCTTCGTAGCGTATTTCGTAAATATAGAAGAGAATGTTTATATTGCAAATAAGAATTTGGAGTCTATTTTCTTCGATATCAAATTTGAAAATGTTCAAAATCTTTGGTACAAATTTAAATCATTAATATAAATTAGGAAAGAAAGCCTAAATTTAAAATAAATCTTTAGCAAAAATGTAATATAAATTTCTTACACGTTTCGTATACGTAATTTCTGTAAACGTAAATTTCAAGCAGACGTTTTAACGCGAGTATACCTCGAATAAATTTCCTAGAATAAAATTTATTAAGCCGAATTTGTTAAAAATGCACCGTTTTGAAAAGGAAAAAGTAAATGGATTACAAACGATAAAATTCGTAAACATTGCGATTCACATTCCACGGACAGAAATTTTATACAGGTAATCTTTATGGTAGGAAATTTTTCGTAATATGTGTTTACGATTACAATTATAATAAACATCTTATAATTTCTATTCTAGTAAAAGTGAAAGACTTTACATAGATAAACTTCATGAAATAAATTTCCTAGAATCACGGTTTCGAAACACAGCTATTTCATTTTTATGTAATTCCCCTTTCTTAACGCACACATATTTCGTAAATGTACGTCGAAAGTGTGCTCTCGTTAAGAAAAAGTATATATATACCTATTTATCCGTTTATTAAACGGTTGTATGACTCATACTGAAATACTTCCATTGGCATATGAATCAAACGTGGAATTCTTGTACGGAAACACTATTACTGATAATTTATCAAGAATCATCCATCATATCGACAGTGATGCGCGTAGAGAATAAATATCTAGTTATTGCCAAATAAAATTACAATACATACGTTTTATGCCGTTGCATAAATATTAAACGACGTATTTTATAACTTATACTATCCGTCAGTTATTATTTCTTTTTTCTTGTAATTTTATTCTTCTGTCATTTACTTAAATAAATTTCGTTCTAAAAATTCTATTTAATATTTCCTAAGCAAATGCATTAGTATGATAAATTCAAAAATGTATCAAACAATTCTTTAAAACTTATTATCATGCAATAGAAAATTATACAATTATCAGTTTAGAAATAAATAAGAAGCACAGAACGTGCGATTTTTCATATTAGTCTTTGTTTTAAAGGTACACCATGATACAAGAATTGACTAGTCCACGAATTCTTATTTAAACATTTACCTGTATAGAAAGTAGGTAAAAAAGTTCCAAGTTAAACATTTAAACGAGTGGATTGTTTGCTATTTATTTATTTATTTATTTTATTTCTCCATTGTAGATTCTAGGATATCGTTAGCATATCGTTGGGATATCGTTTTCATAGTATCATTGAACGTGTGACATTGTATCAATGTAACGTGACGAATAAATTGACTTAAAAGGATTTTTATTCCTGTCACTGTTCAATGCTTTATTTGCGAGTAAAAATAGCTTTTAACAGTGATTCATTGATACATAAACAAAGACGTTTTTATTTCTGCAACGTTTTTGTCAGTTGATTCATTTCCTTATCATTTTATATTATTTAATTGAACAATAGAAGCAATCGACTTTTAATATATCATGTTTTTAAATGCAAACTTAAATTCTTTAAATTAAATTTGATAAAATAAAATTTCGGTGACTTTATTCACAATGTTCTATTTCAAAGAGATGTAGCAAAAACAAATTGAGAATATATTTATGGATAAATAGCATTGAAAGTCACAGACATGTTTTTTTTCTTCTTATTTTACAGTAATAGTTATATTTTAATTTGATATTTCTATAACATATTTACACGAATATCTTATTATTATATTTTATTTTTTCGCTTCATGATCTTACAAAAGGAACTTGAATTATTACTCAATTAATTTCACTGATTTCTAATCACTTTCCATAATCTAAGATATGTCCTTAAGATACATTCTACTGATAATTTTGATTATATAATCGATATTCGAGTTATAATTATCAAAACAACTAAACCCGTGGTCAACTATCTTAATAGAAACATTTACATGTATCGTGCAAAGTTACTTAATATCCTTTTTTCTTTACAGTTATTCGTTTACGAGTGTTCTGAAACATTCACGTTTCTTAGAATCATTTACACCAGTCATCTGTATACATAAATTTTCATAATTTATTCAAATTTATTTCTCTTTTCTATTCTTAAATTAGTACGATATTTACATTACATAGATTTTGATGAAAATAATATTCCACTTCACGGAACCTAAATACGTAGTCACATGATCATAGGAACGAACAGATTAAATAAAATAATAATTAATTAATTTGTGTAATTAATTTTAAAATAACCCACGACAATATTAAATTTCCTAATAATCTATTATAATTTGAAAAATAAACAAGAATATGTTGCCTAATTAATATTCAAAATTCACCATTAAATAACATAGTTCTTGATTAACTATCAAATTAGAAATAAATATTCACAATGAAATAGCATAATACGTTGCTCTATCTACGTACAAAGTAACACGGCGAACAAATTCATATTCATAACACGCTGCGCAAAGATCACGCGTGACTTCAATTTGAAATTAATCCAGAGTAAGTCGATGAAAGAGGACGAAGAAGAAGCAAAAGAACAAATAGCGAGTGCTGTCGATCACTTTTCTTTTTCTCAGAAGAAATAGTGAAACACGCGGATTGCTTTCGGTCAACCGTGACGAGGTAGAGAAAGTTTAGCGTTAGGCAAGCCGCTTCTGGTCAACATTAATTTCTCGCATAAGAACGATGTGTAATGTCGAGTATTTGCGTAATTCGTTATAGCGTGCATTGCCTGTTGCACGTGCAACAGTACCACGGGAAGAATATCACGTTTATTATATATACGTATGCCATCCGAACGATGATTTCCTTCTCGTTTCAACTATTCTACCAAACATGATATTTATATGATGACTTTACAATATGTATGAGATCATACGATGTCTCGATGAAGAGTTAAACGACAGAATGTTTCAGGTTCTCAGAATTTCTGTTGGACAAATTATGCTCACTAGAATAAGTTGCAGGGTTCGGTTGATTGATTATTAAAGAATTTTATCCCTTCGTGTTTCCTTCATTTTTATTTCGTTACATTATTTTCGTCGTTGATTATTCGTTGAATGTTAAAATATCGAGACCGTACAGGAGACACATGCATTTTCCAATTAATTGCGCAAGTGGTCATTTCGCATGCAAGACTACAGTGGATGTCACAATTAGCATACTTAAAGTTGTCATACGATGTCACATCTAGTTACCTGTCATGGATTAACTTCCTTGGTAAAAATGTAGGAAAGATCGATTATTTCGCCACTGCAGGGCGATTACGCTTCAACAAACTCGCTTATAAGAAATTATAGAAACAAGGAGTAGCAGAAACTATGTCATTTTCCGATATCGGAGTGGATTTTCTCGCATTAGAAACTCATTTGTTATACCTAATTACTTGTCATTGTGGTTTTATTCAAGATCATCGTTTTATATCGTTTCTAACAGTTATTCAAACGTCCTTTTTATTTTATTTATTTCCATATTCATATATTTATATTTATCTTCTAAAATTTTTTATAATCTTCTTTTTTGTTTAATACGATCGCAATGGAATTGATGGATATTTCAATTTTATGTATTGGTACGTGATTCTACAAATTTGACAAAGCCTGGATATTATTTATTCGAACGTATGAAAGATGACTGAAATTAAAATTATATTTATATTATAATTAGAATTAATATTATAGTCTTTCTTCTTATAAAGGAAATAAGATTGTAGATTCTAGAAACATAGATTTTCACAATTACTTTAGATTAGTTTGTACTACTTTAACCAAAATTGATTTTCAGATGTTGCTGATTCAACCGACGGAGGAGATGTCGAAGCAGATTCGCGTGGAGCTGAACGAAAATGTCGCGACACGTGACAAAGACGTCGAAGTCATCAAAGAATGGCTGAGCAAACAACCGCACTTACCTGAGTTCGATGGTAATCGCGTTCGAACGATACTTTTCGTTAACGTGATGGATTGACATATCCTTAGATTTGTGCTCAGTTCGATATTTAATACAGACGTATTTAATAGAAAGAGCTAAGTAGTAGAAAGAAAAACGGAAGATATAATTGAGAAACCATAAAAAATTAAAAAGAAAGGAAGTAACATTCCTACTTGCTTTTGATTTTAATTATCAAGTATGTAATGTAAAGAGAAAAAATAAATATCTGACTGATCGATACGAAGCAAGCGAATTAAAAGAGAAATAAAATATAGAGTCCAAAACGTAACATAAAAGTAAAATAATTAATTACGATGATTATGTGGATTTTTATTAAAGTAGTTAATAATTTATACGTAATTATTATGACATATATATTTTTACTATGCTGAATAAACATTCGATATGGTAAACATAGATCACGATTATTCAATGATTGATTGCTTAGAAGACATCTTTTTTTCATTTCAGACGATTACAGGCTAATGACGTTTCTTCGTGGCTCCAAGTTTTCCTTGGAAAAGTGCAAGAAAAAGCTGGATATGTATTTTACAATGAGAACCGCGATCCCGGAGTTCTTCACTAACCGAGACATCACCAGACCGGAATTGCGAGATATTACCAAAATTATGTAAGCTTCTTTTCTATTGCTACGAGCTATTGAGAAACATTGTTGTAATTTTTTTCCATAATTATATGATATTCATAATTTCCTGTATAATCGTATATATATTGTATATTTATTTATTTATTTTGTTCATTTGGTTAAAGTTTATTCTATATTACGTGTGATATTCGAAAAACTGAGAAGATCTGAGAAGGTCTGTGACTATGTAGCAACGTTATTGTGTCCTTGAAATAGAAAATTTTCTAATTCGGCGAGCACGGGTAATTTCCATGACACCATTAACACGCATCGTAAGCCAAATAAGAAACTTTCCGCGGGCAAATTTACATGGTATAACGAGAAAAGTTCTGATTCGTTTTAATAAACCCCGACTGTTCGTTGCTAAGCTCGATTTTCGTAGCAAAGAATTAAACGGGAAGAGGACGTTGTTCTTCCAGTATTCGAGTGCACGTTCGTAGAAAATAAGAGAAATTAATTATTTTAGTCCAGTTATTCTCCTTTCGCTCTTCTATTTTCCACAAATGTCGAAAATGCCTGATATTAAACAAGCATGTACGTGGAAGATGAAGAAAGTTAATTATTCTAGTTTGATTATTCGTTCGATTCTATTCATTCTATAATCAGATAATCAAAAATAATAACAACGATAAATTGAAAAACCGAGTTCTTCGAATAATGCTCTTTCGCCAGTTTAATTTTCTTTTACCCATATTGCATCGATGATTTATAAATGTGTATAATCAGATCTATAAACTCCATAGCTGCGATAATTTGAAATAAATATATATTTCAAGAAACTATTTCCTTTCCAGTCAGGTGCCTCCATTGGCGGGTTTGACGGAAAACGGACGACGAGTAATAATTATGCGAGGAATCGACAAGGACTTACCAACTCCAAACGTAGCCGAAGTGATGAAACTGGTTCTGATGATCGGCGATGTGCGTCTGAAAGAAGAATTAGTTGGTGTGGCTGGAGATGTATATGTACTGGATGCTAGTGTCGCGACGCCAGCCCACTTCGCAAAATTCACACCAGCTATCGTGAAAAAGTTCCTGGTCTGTGTTCAAGAAGCCTACCCGGTGAAGTTAAAGGAGGTGCATGTGGTGAATGTTAGCCCGCTGGTCGATACTATCGTCAATTTCGTGAAGCCATTCATTAAGGAGAAAATTCGCAATAGAATCTTCATGCACAGCGACATGAAGACTTTGTACGATTATATTCCCAGGGAGATACTACCAACCGAATACGGCGGCGATGCTGGACCAGTTCAAGCAATTCATGGTACGATGACAATTATCTTTTTCAGAGTATGGCAACTGAGAGCCTCGTAATTAGATTACGGATATTTATGCATTTATAATTGAAAATTACACAAATGAAACGAAGGTTGAAAATAGAATATGCGTATATAATTAGTAAAATGAAAATAGAACATACATGATATGCAAAAATATACAAAATATCCAAAGTATTGTATTTATTGTAACATTTTATGGATCGAGTAAGTTTCTGCGTAATTTCTATCATTTTAATTAATTACGTAAAGACATAGGAATTCGCATATGTATCCGCAATCTACTCGTAACGAAAGCAACCTTTTCAAATTTGTCTACTTATCGAATAATGACGCAATCCGATCAGAGGCTCGTGGTGGAATCGATATTACGAGAAATGATTTAAATATTTCATATGATTGCTCAAACTGGAAAGGTCAAATAAAAAAAGTCCATATATTTTACTAAAAATGTAATATCACTTTACTTGGATTATTCTGCATTTCTCTATTATCTCATGTACAATACAGGAACACCTGTTGCAACGTTGCAACAAAAACACGTCTGTGAACGTGTCAGATAATAAATCGTATCGTCGAATATATCATTAAATTTATTTTATCGATCTCCAGTGATCAAGCAAAAGTCATCGTTTGTTCGTTTTTTAGAAACCTGGGTGAAGAAATTAGAAGAATACGGTCCTTGGTTCGCGGAGCAGGAGTCAGTGAAAGCAAACGAGGCGCTTCGGCCAGGAAAACCAAAGACTCACGATGATTTGTTCGGTTTGGATGGATCATTCCGACAACTGGTGATCGATTAAACCAACAACTCATCCAGTTGTCGACCCATGACAACTTCACCAACTACCATCCCGGTGCTAATACGAAGAAAATGAGTTCGAAGAAGGGGAGGAGACAATATGTGCATCCATGTCATGACGTTCATCAACAAGAAACATCATGTTACTAATATGTATATTTTCGATATACAGTTTTCAATTATTTGTCTACGCATATGTATATCGAATCTCCCAAAAGATTTTCCTGACTAGAAATTGATTCATCAGATGTTTGATAGATTTTGATGGATACACCGTCGTTCTATTCTTGCACAAATTCGACGGTGAAAAATTATTAATAGGAATTGATTGATCTAATTGAGAGCTGAGTATTAGTTATAGTAGAATAGATGTGGTTCTTTGCAGTTGAATAAGTTCTATTTAATAGAATTTTTGTTTATATCGATCTCGTACATAATGGAGACATACATACAGTTATCGAGCAGGTTGTAAAGCTTTAAAGTAATGTTGATGATGCTTACATTGCATATTTTTCTATATCTTTTTTCATGTGATGAATAAAACATTATTTTATTAGATACAAATGTTTCAATAGTCCTTAATCGCAGTAACTTTTTCAAGTATATCGACTATATCATAGATTTATTATTTATAAGGAAATATATCTTTTTTAGAAATAATCAGAGAATCATTTATCATTATATTTAGAAAATTGAAAAGAAGTACATATAAATAGATTAACAGATGTGTCTGAAATTTGCAAAATTTCTTATACATTTGGAACAAAACAGATTTAATGTTTCATCGATCATCAGTGATGCAAAGGGGAAAGCGATGCTGCAATTATCTTAATAGTAAGAATAGAATAATCAGACGGAGGAAAGTAAACATTAATTGAAAAGTTAAACAAATCTTGGAGTATATCCATGCTTTCACCTTTTCCTTCATATCTTCTTGATTCTTTTTTGAATTTAAGATTATCAAATCAATAATTATTTATGAATATAATAACTACTTATGATTTAGAAAATCTAACTTCGTTTCACTACAGGAAAAGCGACATAAGATAAATAATATTTATTTTATTCGAACAAAAATTAAAATTTAAATAAAACGCTAGTGAAACGTGTAAAGTTTACACGTATTTATTTTTATCTGGTAATTAATATCAACTCACAAAATGTAGATGATTTTTCTTCCGAGAAATTACGAAAAAGACATCCTGTAAGTATAACATTAAAATAGGCGTAGAGTTTCGTTTCAAACGCAGCATAATTGTACAGGTGATTATCCGTACGCAGGTAATTCGTTTATTACATTGTAATTGCCGCGTCGAAAGTAGGTTAGACTGCATACGTAGAGCATAGTACTTTCGATTTTTGAAAGTACCTTTTTTTCAACACTATACCATGTCCCACATTGTGGAAAATAGGCTCGGTTCATGTGCAATGTACGATAATGTGTATACCTTTAAAAACTAATGGACGTGAGGAAATATCTCTCTCACAATTACCCCATAATTTTATAACGAAAGGAATGCTATTATAGTATACATACATATTGTTTTTATATAAAGTATAAACGTGCGCATAAGGTTTCAATTGTGGAGTTAACGTAGAAACAGCGTTTATATACTTTTCTTTTATGTTTCAACGCACGCGAAGCATAGCGTAAAAGATATGAAAAAGGACTTCTTCCTTTTATCTTCCTTTTTCAAAGTTTACTCTAGTGAATATTCGAAAGAATCTATTTTAAATATCTGAAACGAGTAAAAAATTAATTTTCCATCGTTCTTCTAACCATTTAGCTTTCGGTTAAATTGAAAATTTCCTTCTGTTCACTTTTACACGTTAGCATCAATATTTGTTAGTAACGTAAATACTCAAATATAAGAACTCGCAATTAAGTATGCTCATAAAATATAATTGTATAAATATTATTACAAAACATTTCGTCTAATTGACAAACAATATATATGTATATGAACCTATCATGCAATATGTGATTTCCAGTAAGAATGTAGTATACGTATAGAGTACGTAATTTATACTTTTGTACGATTTTATTAAATATTATTTATAGCAATATCCTGTAAAATAGTTAAGGACGAGATTGAGTATATACAGATTAATATCTTATCTTCATTCTGCTTTATACATAGATTTATGGTTTGTATGAATCGCCTATGTAAATTAGTAATTTCGATTAATTAATACTCGTGTTTCGTTGAAATTATTAGAATTATTCATACCTTGGAATTATTTAATCATGATTGTATAGCGGGTTTACACTAGACAGTTGAAGAATATATAAATATATTTCATTTTTAAATAAAATATGTAATTATGAAATAGATTTTATATTAATGACCCTAAAATAATTTGACAAATTATATTGCGTTTCTTAAGCTGATTTGTATAAATAGTAAAATAAGATATACGTGTGTACAATAATTTGTTAGGATAATCATAATTCGTTATAATCAATCATACGTGGAAACATATATTCTCAGTTCTTACTGCGTATTGTACATGACAATGTAGCGGAAATAAAAGACACAAATTAAACAATTGAAGAATATATAAATATATTCCGTTTTTTAATAAAATATGTAATTATGAAATAGATTTTATATCAATGACCCTAAAATAATGTGACAAATTATATTGCGTTTTTTAAACTGATTTGTATAAATAGTAAAATAAGATATACGTGTGTACAATAATTTGTTAGGATAATCATAATTCGTTATAATCAATCATACGTGGAAAAAATATATTCTCAGTTCTTATTGCGTATTGTACGTGACATTGTAGCGGAAATAAAAGACACAAATTGTTATACGTAAAATTCTGAAAACGATGGAGATAGATTCTTTTTTATCTTCTTTGTCCTTTTGCAGAGTATAAACCAATTTGTCTAAATTTTAAAACATCTTAAAAGCTTTCCTGTTATTCAATAATATGTTTGTATTTGATATAAAAACAGAGAAAATATAATTTCTGGAATTTTTCAGAGAACGAACAAAAATGTTTCATCAAACCCTTGTGAAAAAGTGACGCTGTCGTGTTTGAAGTTGGAAGCTCGTTAAATTTAAACAATTGAAAAAGAAAAATTGGAAACGAGGACAACGGTGAAACTGCAGATTTCCAGAATGAAAATTGAGAAAACACTGAAATAGCCACACCGAACAATTCCCTTTTCCAACTTGTCAGTTTTTGTCGGTCCAAGCATCGAATTACAATCTCGTCCAGAGATTTCAATTAATTTTGCCCGTTCGTCGATGAGAGACAGTCAAAAAAGGGAAGAAAATTGACTAAAAAAGAAAGTGACCGACTAATTACAGCTCCGAAACGAAGTCTTTAAATCGCACGAGTTTCCGTTTTCGTATACTCGTTACCCTGATGTAATTAGGATATTTCAGTAATCGAATGTAACATGGATCGATCCAATACTCCATTCTCAGGCTTTTTCAACATTCTGACTGGTTCGTAGAAATGACCGTAGGTTACAAGTCATATCAATTCTCTTACGATTGGCATATCACTAAAATGCAATACGTTGATCAAAAGGAAAGAAGGACTTGTTTATTCGTATTATTTCTATATATCACTTCTATATATCTGTGTTACATTCTTCGTATGCCAACGAAGATATAATTCTTTTTATTTACATTATTTATTATCTTCGAAACAATTGCGTCAGACGACGATGCTTATATCTTAGGCCAAGAATAACTTTATTTTTATTCGATACATTCCTACACATCCTCTCTATATGTTCTACAAATTCTTTCCTCGCCACGCAACTGTTCACGGTAAATATGAAACGATTACTTTGATTTCACAAGTAGAAATTTTTGCGATTAAACGTGTTTCTATATTTTGCTTATCGCAACAGAAGATACAATTTCTCGCACTTTCTCGTCTTTCCACTGCCCGCGTCTTTCCTCGGTACACCAATCGCTCTCAAACAATTAAATGCGAGACAAGTACTTTCGTTCCCGAGGAATCACCCCCACTTCCTTCCCCACCTGTTCGCGGTTGGAAGATCGTCGGCAAGTCACAATCGTTGGTCAGTCAGTCAGTCAGTAAGTCAGTCAGTCAGACACATAATCGATCAGTCGACGAATCGATCGAAACGCGATCATCAAACGCTGGATTCTTTGAAACTCTCGGTTCATGAACTTTCTGACTGACAAGTGCGTTCACCTCGTTAAATGCATAGTGTAGTTCAAATGTCGAAGTAAATCGCAGCTGGAGTATCGAAACAACGAACAATCTGTTTCGCGATAAAGAATTTTGTGATTTCTCTGAATATTGTGGAAATTTACTTGAACAGGGTAGGATTTTGTAAACAATAGCAGAATGTAAAAAGTGGATCGTCACTGCTTAAAGGTGTTGAAGAAAAGAAAGGTGAGGTTCAATCGAGGAAGTCGTTTCATCTAATCGAGATTAAATTACGGGTAATTACGATAATGAATGTTTATTTATTGCGTTTTTCATTTAAAGATATACTACTCTGTTCGAGCTTTTGTAGGAGATATAAACGAGTATCTACGATATGTGAAATACTTTCCAAACGATTGGGTAGTAATCTGCGAATTAATAGAAGTTTTGGAAAAGTTATTTCTTTTCCTATTCTTCCCCTGCATAATTCAGAATTTCTTTTTAAATATTGCTTCTTCTTTTTTCCTTTCCTAATTCTATATTCAGGATTTAGATTTCGATTTCTATCGAATTTTCCATTTACAGAGAAATATTATTAGTGTAATGAATTTTTTGCAATATTATTTATACCATTCATAGAAAAAAGGATGGAAAAAGTAAAGCTATCTTATAATCAACTTTTTGGAAGGATTATAAAAGATATCTGAAAGAAACTGATTTTAATCTGAATTTCTTTTTAATTTGTAATAAATAACTTAATTATATTGCATAATTAAATATTCGTGAATGAATACGATATATGAATGAAATACGATATATTTCAATGAATATATCTTCAAAAATGTACAAATTAGGGCAAAATAACAATTAGTAAAAAAACCCTTATGCACATAAATTTAAAGTATTATAAACTATCAAAAATAATGTCTATGTATCGGTACCACTTTCATCTTCATTTTCGCGATTAGGCGATACGTTTGGCCGCCCTTTGGCATTTAATATTCTTAATAGAAAACGCGTTAAATGAGTCAGTGGTAAACAACGTCTTCGTCTGCATTGAAAATGTCGACTTGACAACCATCGAAGTATCTTTCATACGTATTTATAATTTATATGCAATATGCATGATTTCGATGACTCACACGAAATCGACAGCTAAAAAGAACTTCGTGCAGTTGGATCTTGCCTGCTAAATGTAACAAGTGCATTGCAATACCATTGAATATCATTGAAGTTTATTGTTAGAATTATCGTTAAATATTTCATTTCTGGAATCTTATTTTAAAACACTTTTTCCTCGAAGCACCGCTTAGAGATAGAAGATTGTTTATAGAGCTACAAAAGAGCTATTTTTTTTATTAAATCATAAAAGCTATTCGTAGGAAGTTTCGGTAACGAAGCGGAACTTTCTTCTG